ACATACTCCAGAACTCAGTAGCTTGACACATAAACATGTGTTTCTCTTTCATGTGATCTAATCCATTGTGTGCTTTGAGGGTCTCCTAAGTAGCTCCCTTCCAAGCCATGACTCAGGAGTCCAATTTGCTCCATTTTAGTTTTGACTTCTAGGATGGCCTCAGCAGAAAGGGAGGACTGGAAGGCTGCACAGAGTGCTTCCCACTATCTTAGCAAGGAAATGACATACATTATATCCCCTTACAGCCCCTTGGCCAGAACTAAAAACATGACCCCAACCTAACTGCAAAAGAGGCTGGGAAATGCAGTCGTCCATGTGCCCAGGATGAGGGAAATTAAACGGGGCTTAGGAAAACCTAATATCGTCTCTATCACCATCACGAACCAGGCATGTCTTAGACACAATGATCCGCACATTCCCTGTGAAATTGAGATGTCATTTCAGGGAGAAAAATCCTAAATTTCAACAAGCTTTAACCTAACTTGAGAAATCACCAAATTCAATTGGTTTTTCATGGAAATGACTAGGCTACCTTTTGTTTTTTTTGTCATTAGGGAGAAATGGGGACTAAAGATAGGAAGAAGTTGCTGACGGAAAGGCAAATAAAGTTGAATCTTTGCACACATGAGAGCATGGGCCATGGCATTTGTGCCTGCTCCATTATTATGGGTTATACATTGTTATTGCTGGGAAAAAAAGCTTACAGATTGTTGGTCAGAAGTGGGATAGCATAGAGATTGAGTGCATTGGCTCATGGGTTCAAATATGAGTTCTGCCCTTTACCAGCTGGTTTACAGGTTAAATAGGATCAAACGTGGAAATGATCAGCTCTGTGCTGGACACACCATACACTCACAATAAGATTAGCAGCTGTGAACATCCACAGCTCAAATGAAGATCCAAGGAGTTTAACCTCCTATCTGGTGCTTTCTTATTACCCTACCCTGCAAAGCTCTTGTCATCATGTTTCCACTTTTAAGATTAATGATGATAATAATAATAATAATGATGCTAGGAGAAGAAGAAAAAGGAGGAGGAGGAGAGGAATTATCATTAATTGATAATTAGTTCCTCTAATATGCCAGGCATTTTACATAACTCATTCAATACTTAAAACAACTCTGCGAATTGGGTATCATTATCACCATTTCACAGATGAGGCAATCAAGGCTTACTGAGGTTACATAACTCGCACCAGGTCATAGAGAAGTTTGAAAGCACATCCATGTTGAGATCCAATGCTGGCCCTGTCATCCACTAACTGTCAGACCCCGGGTGAGTTGCCTGACCATGCTAGGATTTGCTTTCTCTTCCTATAAAAGAGGAATAAAAATAGTACCTATCTCAAAAAGAAAAAAAAAGTTCACAAATTCTTTGACCTCCTTCCAACCAAGAGGTGGGATCTCTGTCCCTCCCCCTTGTATCTGGGCTGACCTTAGTGACTTACTTGTAACCAAATAGAATGGAACTCAACTTCTAAGGCTGCTCAGAAAAGGCCATGTGGTTTCTGCTGGTTCTCTTGGAACACTTGCCTTTGGAGCCTGGAGTGACTGACATAGGTTAAATTGTATTATCCCCCCAAATTTTTTTGTCTAAGAATGTGAAATTATTTGGACATAGGATCTTCATAGAGGTAATCAAGTTAAGATGAGGTCGTTAAGGTAGGCCCTAATCCAATATGACTTATTGGATTATGAATTTCCCCCTTATAAAAGGAGGAAGGCCTGGAGCAGATCCCTCCCTCACAGCCTCAGAAGGAACCCACCCTACTGACACCTTGATCTTGGATTTCCAGCCCCCAGAACTGTAAGACAATAACTTTCTGTTGTTCTAGGCCACCCGGTTTGTGGTGTTTTCCTATGGCACCCCTAACAAGTGACTATAATTGTTACACAAGAAATCTGACGACCCTGAGGCCCATGAGGAAGCCCAGGCCACATGGGGAGGCTACTTCTATGTATTCTGGTGACAGCTTCAGCTGTGGTCCCAGCCGACAGCCAACATCAACCACCAGACACATGGGCAAAAATGTCTCCAGATGGCTCCAGCCCCCCGTCATCAAGTCACATCCCCCCACCCTTGTTTTCAAGTGTCCCCAGATGAAGCCCTAGACACCATGAAGCAAGTAGATGCTGTTGTACCTTGTCCGAATTTCTGAAGCACAGCATCTGTGAATACAATAAATGGCAGTGTTATGCCACCAAGTTTGGGACTTTATAAAGCAGCAACACTAACAGGAGTAGCCTCGCAGCTAATGAGGGCCCCAGCCAGGTTCTGAGCCCGGGCTCTGGCCATGGACTGCAGGTCTTTGCTCTGCTCTCTCACGCAAGCTCAGCAGCCTTGTTTTCTCAGAGGGTGCCCCGGTAGGAAGATCTTCGCCGAGTCTTGTCTCCAGGGAAGCAGGGCTGGCCCACCCAGGCTTAAAACTCTGGTTAATCCATGGTTAACCTCCTTTCAGGAAGCCATCTCCCCAGCTTCATTCTCCAAGCTTGGAGAGCGGGCCAGGCTCCTAAAGGCAGCCATCAAGTCTAACCTCATCAAAGTATGACTTGAACCTGTTCTCAGGGTCTTTTGGCTGATGAGTTTGTGCAACATTACGGCTGTCGGGAGGCAGAATATGAGCTGGATGTCTAATCACCTGGGTTTAAATTCTGGCTGTGCGACACTAGCTGTGTGGCCCTAGGAAGTTATAATAACCTCCCTGAGCCTGTTTCTTCAACTGCAAAATGGGGATGTAATAGCAACCACCTCGTAGGGGTTCTAGTGAAGCTCAGACAAGCCATTTTCATGTGAAGCGTGGAGCAGGGGTCTGCCTAGCACAGGGTCAGTTCACAGCCCATGTTAGCTACTGTTGCTAGTCATCAATATCAACCGTTTACTTGTAGGGATTTGTTTGTTCTCTCCAATGCAGACTATTTTAGTGCCTGGAAGCATCCTCGCAAAGGAGAAAAGTAGCTTAAAATAAACCCAAGAATGTTGAGTTCTTTCAAAAGTTAATCTACAAAAAAAAAAAAAAAGATTCCAGACAAATCTAAGGTAGAATTGTTATTACGGGTTTTATTGTTCCAAACAACCTTGAAAAACTAACTCTGGAGCTCCAAAGGGTAGCAATTAGGCCTCTGGTGAGAGTCTTCAAAGCATTTAAAGCCTTGCCAAGGGACTCATGGCTTCACTTCCTTCCCTATTTTGTGGTCACCGTGTCTGCCTGCATCCCCCACCAGGGCCCAGGCAGGAGTGTGGGCAGGGCCGCGTGGTCTCCCCGCTGCTGCAGGAAACGCTGCCTGCTGTCTGAAGACTCCCAGAAAGAGAAGGCTGAGAGGGTGACTCAAAGTGAACCATCTCCTCCCCCAACCCATGTCCCCCACCCTGCACGCTGCACCCTGACAAGACCCCTCTTCTGAGCCCAAGACTGAATCACGGCTCGGGGCCCTGGGATGCTCGCAGGCCCCTTTCCCCAGTGCTGGCCATGAGATCCGACTGCAGGGTGCCTTTATGGGTCTGAGCTAATTCCCTCCTGAGCTGCAGCTTACCCCACGGCAGCACTTTGTCAGAAACAGTCTCTGGGCTTGCTGCTGGCAGGCTGCTTGCTGGCTGTTAAGTCTTCATCCTGCTCTATGCGGGGCAAGGCTTGTCCAAATATTTGGCTTGATCCTGCTTTCTGATTCATCATGTGCAGGAACCTCTGTAATTTCATCTACTGCGTGACTCAGACAAGAGCTGAGCACAAGTGCTGTGCACCAGAGCCCTGGAGGCTGCACACAGGCCAGGCCTGCACCTCCCCAGGCAAGCCTCCTGGGCTTGGGGAGAGACGCTGGCACTCTCGGGATCAGCTAGCCTGAGATTAAATCTCTTTTGTCTGAGATGATTAATAGAACCCCAAACACGCCTCGACACAGGGTGTGAGGTGCACTTTGTACCTTTTCCAAGTTTTTTTTTTTCTTTTTTAATGCTAAATCCATTTGCATCTCATAAATTATACTGGCTCCAAAATGAAGTGTTCCTGACAGCGGCAGGCAGGGTGTGGGTTCCATTGAAATGCTTTTCCCTGTCATCCCCTCTCTCGCTCTGAGACCCTAGAAGATATCCTGCTGATCTTCTAAAGGAGGAGGGGAGGCAGTGAGTGACCTAGATTTCAAATCAGAAAGATAGGTAGAGCCAGCTCGCCTGTCTTCAAAAGGCTGCCCATGCACTGGGTTCTGGGGTTTTGGAAGGAGCCGGAAGGAAGATGTTCCCCGGGCTCCTACCCGGATGCTCCTGCTTATGGGTAACATGGTCATTTTCTCCTTCAGCAGGTTTTTCAGCCTCAGAAAGGCCACAGGTTGGGCCAGTGGGGTCCGTGAACCCCCCTCGGTGCCCCTAGGTAACGCTATCTGGGAGGGGGAGGGGAAGTAGAGAGAGATTGACAGCAGAGGTGAGGCACTCCTGGTGGAGGTGGTGGGGCAAGGGAAGGGGACCTCTGGACAGGGGGTGGGAAGTGGGGATGGCAGTTCAGACACCAAGGGGATCCAGGAGTCAGAGGCAATGGGGTCTGAACCCTCCTTCCACCACTTTCCAGCTCTGTGGCTTTGGACAAATGACTCGCCCTTTCTGAGCCTCTGTTTCTTCATGCACTCATTCATTTCCTGGGTATTGCCTCTGTGCCAGGGCTAGGCCACCCCATTGGCGCTTAGGTTCTAGACATTACACAGTCAACACAGCCCTGTGCCTCTAGAGCACGTCCAGTGTTGGGTGAATATACCAAGCACAGGACAGAGTTTGGTGCAGGCCAGAATCACAGGACCATCAGTGAGCTAGGCCTGGGGTGGGCAGGTGAGGGGTCCAGCGCAGAAGACTGAGGAGGTGCAGCCAGGGAGGCAGGAGGGATCCAAGGAGGGTGACAATAAAGAGGAGAATGCACACTCTCACACAGTGGGAGCTCAGGAAATGTCGCCGTTGCTGTTATTATTTGATCAGTCAGTGGGCGTGGCAGTATGCTTGGGGCCAGGATGCTGAAGGGAAGGGAAAAGAAAAGCTGGAGGAGGGTGGCTTCGCAGCCAGGGTAAACAGCACAGCCAGATGGCTGCCATCATTTCTCGCCACTCCAGTCGCCCTCCTGCCTCCAAGTCACAGGCGGGCTTCACTTCGCACCATGTCCCAAAGGTCAGCAGGCTGGGGTTTCACAAGCGGGCATTCCAGGCCCGGGTCCCGCACAGGGAGCACTCTGTCCGTGGTCAGGCCTCCAAGTTGCCAACCAGGACTAGCTGCTGGAGCTCTGGCCCATCCCAGGGGACCCCAGCTGCTGTCAGGCTGGAGTGGGTCAGAGTGTGGTGGGGAGAAAGGCAGCCCCGCCAGGGACAGGGGCAGCTGTCCTTGCCCTAAGCACCTGAGTCACACTCAGGCCAGGGAGCCATGGCCAGGGGCATTCCAGGCTCTGCAGGGAGGGCATGCAGAAGGGTGGTGTGTATAGTCACACGTGTATATGTCAACGTAGTGTGTGAGTATACTGTACGTATACGTGACTCTTTTATCGGTATATTTGTAGTTTTATTGAATTTCCATATCCTAGATAGTGGCTATCGTTTATCACCTTTTTCTAAGCAGGGAGAAACAAGACTCAGAGAAGTCCAAAGAAACTAAGCTGAGAAGCAGACAGCAGAACAAAAGTTCAAGTCCGACGTTCTGTGCCTTCAGGCAACAGCCATGAAACAAGAGGTCACAGCTGTGGAATGGCTTGAGCCCTACCTCTCATCACAGATTTCGTTATGCTCCATTGGTAGAAACAAAGGGAAGGTTTTGCGTCTCCTGTTTTTAAGGTTGAGAGAGAGCCACTAGAAGGGGACGGAGCTTAAACAAGGCCCCCTCTGGCCTTTCTCCTGTGTAGGTGATGCTGGCACAGTGGCCCCATCCACCGGGTGTCCCTGTGCCCTGGGCTCCTGGAGGAACCCTGCTGACCAGAGGAGCTCCCCACAAAGCCCACACTCAGCACTTTTCACCCCCTTCCCTTCCCCTTTCACTTCCTAACACTATTTGGGGCTGCGTCTGCCTCCTCCAAGGACACAGCGTTCCTCGCTCATCTGGGCGTCCCGGGGTGCCAGGCACGATGGCCTGTGATGGGGGCTCACTCTGGTCGCTCACCTTTGTATCCACAGGGAAATGGGGAAGCTCTGCAAGCCTGGGCCAGGGCACAGCTTGGACAATCTGTCACCAGTGTGCAGAGTCAGCCGAGAAACACAATCCTGCCCAGGCTTTCTGCGGCTGCGGCCAAGAGGGTAGGGCTGCTGGGCTGAAGGCTGTCAAGTGACCGGGCAAAAAAAAGCCAGCCTCAGCCTGCATGGCTGCAGCAGTCCATGCTGCAACAGAATAATTCCTCTTAGTGGGAACAGGCCTGCCACGCTTATCACAAAGCACCGGCTGCCTTTCCAACGGGGCTGGAGGAGCTTTACAAAAAGAAAAGGAAGTTGCCCTTACATCTTGGGGAACTTTAAAGACACCTAGAAAATGAAATCTTGGATTTTACTTTCCTGAAAGGCTGAGGTTGAGCATAATTCTCTGCCTTTGTTCCCCTTCTTTGTCTTGGTTAAATGTTCCTGGCCATACTGTACCTGTGGTTTTATTGTCATCCTTTTTGGGAACGAGCAGGATATAAATCAGTTAGTGAAATTTTAGAATGTAGCTCTTTGGTCTAGCATCTAAGTAGATAAAGAAGAAACAGGCACTTAATAAGTGCCTCTGGAGGCTTGTGATTTGCGTGGGGCTCCCAGCAAAAGGTAAAGTCTTGCTTAGAGGTTACACACACTGAACGCAGGGTGGTCCTCAGGCCCCTGGTCACAGCACGCACAGTGCTGGTGCCTCGATCTGCAAACCTGGTGCGCACAGCCACTGGGGACCATCTGCCCCAAGGCCACCCCAGGACTTATCAGAAAGGGGAAGAGTCAGCCAGGTGCGGTGGCCTGGGGATCACGCCTGTAATCCCAGCACTTTGGGAGGCCGAGGCCGGTGGATCATGAGGTCAGGAGTTCAAGACCAGCCTGGCCTAGATGGTGAAACCCCGTCTCTCCTAAAAATACAAAAGTTAGCTGGGCGTGGTAGTGGGCGCCTGTAATCCCAGCTTCTTGGGAGGCTGAGGCAGAGAATTTCTTGAACCTGGGAGGCGGAGGTTGCAGTGAGCTGAGATCATGCCACTGCACTCCAGCCTGGGTGACAGAGAGAGACTCTGTCTCAGAAAAAAAAAAAAAAAAAGAAAGAAAGAAAAAAGAAAAAGAAAGAGTCAAGTTTCCTGCTTCTTGCTGCAGCCGGCTTGATCAGTGCTCTAGAAAAGGGGGGTGGGTGACTCCAAACAGCCCCCGCCCCAACTTCTTGCCACTGTTGGCTTCCCTAGGCAGAGGTCTGACAACAGCAGGGAGTCAAGGCCTTGGAAGGGTCCCCCCAGGCAAAAGCTGATTTGCCTGTCCCCATGCCAGGCATAGGGTGCTTGGAAGTGGTTGGGTCTTTGCAAGGGGGGTGACTGCAAAAAGAAGGTGAGATGTGTTGCTGCCACAGTGGAGGGCTTGCCAGAACCAGCGTCGGAGTTGGTGGGTTCCCTGACTTATGGAAAAGATTTAGGGAAAGGCTGTAAAATACTGGGCAAAGGATTATATGGAACACTTTAAACACCTGAGCCAGGTTGTGGAGGGAAATAAGTGTTATGACAAGCCACCTATCTGCAATCCCTGCCCTTTATCTGGGAGCGCAGGCGTGATGAAAACCTTGAAGTGAAGTCAAGGTCAACATGCTGTCCTGAGTCATTAGCCATACACAGATTAGTAGGTTAATACAGAACAGGCTGCACAGACGAATTACACCCAGAAGCCCTGTCCTTGGTGTTGACACCGAAAGGTTCAGTTATCACAGGGAGAGTGATGCCTGCTTAATTTTGATAGGGTTTAATTATTATGATAAATGCCCTTGGAATTTAACTCTTTCATTCCACCTAGTGTTATGGCTTGTATGTCTGTGTTCCTCCAAAACTCGTATGTTGAAACCTTAACCCCCAGTGGGATGGTATTAGGAGGCGGGGCCTTTGGGAGGTGATTGGGTTTAGGCGAGGTCTCGAGGGTGGTGCTCCCGTAATTAGAGTAGTGATTAGAGTAGTGTCTTTAGAAGAGAAAGACACTAGAACTCTCTCTTCACCATGTGAGGATACAGTGAGAAGGCAGCTATCTATAAACCAGGAAGCTGGACCTCATCAGATCCTGGATCTGCTGGTGTCTCCAGAACTGAGAGAAATAAGTGTTTGTCATTTAAGCCACTCAGTCTGCAATATCTTGCTGTAGCATCTCTAACTGGCTGAGATATCTTATTAGAGTTCTCCAAAGAAACAGATCAAATAGGAGATAGATAGACAGATAGATAGATAGATAGATACATAGATACATACACAGACAGATAGAGAGATAGATTTATTATGGAAATTGACTCACGAGATTATGAAGGACAAGAAGTTCCACAATCTGCCATCTGCAAGCTGAAGATCCAGAAAAGCTGGTGGTGGAATTCAGTCCAACTCACCCAGGAAAGTTGGTGGTGGAATTCAGTCCAAGTCCAGAGGCCTGGAAACGAGGGCATGGGGAGGACGCTGGTTTAAGTCCTGATGTCCAAAAGCCCAAGAACCGAGAGGTCCAATATCCAAGGGCAGGAGAAGATGGATGTCCCAGCTTAAAGAGACAGAAAATATACCCTTCCTTCACCTTTCTGTTCTAAGCAGATCCTCGACAGATTAGGTAATGCCCTTCCACATTGTGGAGGGTGGACCTTCTTTACTTTGTCCACTGATCCAAATGCTCATCTCTCACAAAAACACCCTCACAGACACACCCAGAAATAATGCTCTACTAAGTATCTGGGCATCCCTCATCCCAGGCAAGTTGACACACAAAATTACCCATCATAGACAATGTCAGAATGAGGATCTCAACTTCAACTGGATACAAGAGAATTGGCCTTTTCTCTCCCCGGCTTCTCTGGGATCTTTGGGAAGGATCTTTGAGGAGTAAAATTCTGCTGTTTCAGAAGGATACACATCCCTGTCACTTGGGGTTGTTAGGACACTTTAGGTCAAAAGTTGCAGAAACCCACTTCAAATGAGCTCATGGAATTTGTTGGGGGGTAATTGAGCACTCTTTTGGAACCAAGATGGAATTGAACCACTGGGCCACGAGAGAGGTGGGAACCAGGCCTAGAAGCTGCCAGAAATACAGGAAGCTACTCCCTATCTGTCTCTTGCGAAAGCCACATGTGTTCTTGCCTCTGCTTCTCTCCACCAACCCATCTTCTGTGTTGCCCTATGCATGTCATGTGGTGGATGGAAGGTGATCATCACACAGTTTCTGAGTTTACATTTCCTCCCTTTATAGAATGGAGCACTGATTGGTCCAGCCTGGGTTAGGTGTCCAGCCTTAATCCAGACATCTGATATTAGGGAGACAGGGTTGTAATACACAGACACGGACACCAGAAGCTCTCCTCTGTATGTAGGTGGGTGGAGGGGATCAGCACTAACAGAATAGTCATTGTGAGCAGGGTGGCACTCCAAAAGGAGACTTGTCCTGATCCTGAGATCAAAACGGTGCACAGTGAAGGAAACAATCAGCATAGTGAAGAGACAGCCTATGAAATGGGAGAAAAATATTTGCAAATCATCTATCTGATTAGGTTAACATCCAAAATATATGAGAAACTCAAACAACTAAATAGTGAGAAAACATATAACCTGATTTTAAAATGTGCAACAGATTTGAACAGTTATTTCTCAAAAGAAGACAAACAAATGGCCAACAGGTATATGAAGAGGTTCTCAACATCACTAATCATCAGGAAAATGCAAATCGAAACCACAGTGAGCTGTCACCTCACAACTGTTAGAGTGGCTATTATCAAAAAGATGAGAGAGCCGGGTGTGGTTGCTCATGCCTGTAATCTCAGCACTTCACCTTTGGGAGGCGAAGGCAGGCAGATCACCTGAGGTCAGGAGTTCAAGACCAGCCTGGCCAACATGGTGAAACCCTGTCTCTACTAACAACAATTAGCCAGGAGTGGTAGCGGGCGCCTGTAATCCCAACTACTTGGGAGGCTGAGGCAGGAGAATCACTTGAACTCAGGAGGTGGAGGTTGCAGTGAGCCGAGGGGAACCCTTGCATATCGTTGGTGGGAATATAAATTAGTACAGTCATTATGGAAAACAGTATGGAGTTTTCTCAAAAAATTAAAACTAGAACTACCCTGTGACCCAGAAATTCCACTACTGACTATATATCCAAAGGAAATGGAATCGGTATGTTGATTTCAGATCTGCACTCGGGTGTTCGTTGCAGCATTATTCACAATGGCCAAAATATGGAATCAACCTAAGTGCCCATCAGTGGATGAATGGATAAAGAAAATATGGCATATATACGAAATACTATTCGGCCTTAAAAAAGGAAATCTTGTTGTTTATGACTACATGGATGAACCCAGAGGATATTATATTAAGTGAAATAAACCAGGCACAGAAAGACACATACCACATGTAAGATGACACATGTAATAATCTTACTTATTACATGTGTCGTCTAAAAAGCTCAAACTCACAGGAGTAGGAGTAGAAAGGTCATGACCAAGAGTTGAGGGGCAGGGGGATTAGAAAGATATTGGTCAGAGGACCCAACATTTCAGTTAGATAGATGGAATACATCCAAGATCAATTGTACATCATGATGAATGACTACAGTTAATAATAACATATTGTATACTCGAAAATTGCTAAG